TTGACAAGATGACCTATGCCTTACCAAGAAGGCACTTCCACAGGCTGCTTTATGTGCCCTTGTGCCATTATACTGTCTTTCTCCAGGATGAGTGAGCCAAGAAAGAAACGTTGAAGTTGCAGTGCCTCTCATGAAGTTACCCACCATCATATCCAACATATGCTACTCATTGGAAGTGAATCACTAAGTCCCTATAGTCAAGGGGAGCAGAATTAAACTTCACTTCTTCAAGGGAGGAAAATCAAAAATGTGTGGGCATAGTTTAAAGCCATCATCAACTGTCTATGGATTCACAGCTTATGCAACCATTAAGTCAAAAGACTTTCTCATAAATCAGTTCATTACATTTTCTTATCTCTTAATTTCAGCTGATTGCATTGGCATAGTGCCAATTACTTCACCATTATTCCTGGTGATCTTTGGTCATTACTGGAGAAATAGCTTTCATAATGAAAAATCACATGGAAGCAATAGACTAAAAATAGAATCATACAAAGGGTGAAGGCTACATTTATCAATAAGAAAGTCAAATATTATTACCAGCAAAAGATTTTACCGAGTGTTTTGCAGAATAAAAGTGCAAATGTTGATTTCTTCACCATCAAGCTTAGCTTTTTGGAGCTTTAGTCAGTCTCGCTAGGCTAAATTTAATAATAAATTTATCAGGGTCAGCAGATGGCATGGTAGTTAAGGCACTGGATTCCCACAAGGCCAACTGCGGTTTGAGTCCCAGACCTGTTGGCTTGAAAATCATGCCAGGCATTTGTTCCTAAAAATCCCAAGAGGAGAATGGAGGAGAAGGGATTTTGTCTGGCCATTCCCCTGGGGAATGATTTGTCACTTTTTCTATCACTATTTCTGTCTCTCTCTCTTTGGCAAGTACATGTACCCTATGTCGGAAACCTAAAACAAATAAATAATAAAAGATGTAGCAACAGATATATGTATTGATACAAAGGAGTTATGATAAACTTTTAAAAATCCACAAAGTCATGGCATGTATTTATAGGTTTCTAGAAAATGGTCCTTTGCAAAGATAAAATATGAGATGTGAAATTGGAAGCACTTGTGTTAACCAATGACCTAGGAGGTAGGAGTGTGGCATTTTGATCCTACATTCCATTTTGCATTCATGATAGGTCATGATGATTGTCTCGCCAACAACCAACACCACCACCACTAGCATTGTGCTTTCAAGTCAAATAGTAATGGGCCTTTGCTGACATAGAATGGAATGAGGTATAGGCTAGGTATAGGCTTTTTGCTATGCAAAAAGACCATAGGTTGATTTAGTACTTTTTTCATTACTTGCACAGGGGAAAGAGAAATTATGCTTCACCCTCTGTCTGTGTGTACAGGAGCATAACTAAAATAGTTCTTACTGTTTGGTTTTCCAAGGACTAAGAATAAGACCTACAAAATCATGATCATGGTTATAAAGATTTTACAGACTATCCCATGGCTCTTCAATTCAGAAAGGAAAGTTTAAGGAAAGTTAGCATCAAATACAAATCTTTTTTTTTTTTAAGAAGTTTTTGCTATAGGGCACATGTGCTCGCCAGACAGAGAGAGACAGAGAGATAGAAAGTGAGAAATCACCCCCCAGGGGGGATGGCCACACCACAATCCCTTCTCTTCCATTCTCCTCTCGGGATCTTGGGCACGAACGCACACGCACCCGGCGTGAGTTTTAAGCCACCCAGTCCGGGACGCGAACCGCGGTCAACTATGTGGGAGTCCAGCGACATAGCCATTACACTAACTGCTGGTCCCTCAAATACCAATCTTTATGATATCTAACTGATGCCCAATTAGCCACAGCCTTTTTCAATCCATATATGGATTCTTTGGACACAAGGTGCCAGTTCTGTGTTTCAGTCTCAGGATGGGAGGCATCTAGCATTTCTTTTATTTTTTTGTTTCTATATGTATATAAATACGTGTGTGTGTGTGTGTGTGTGTGTGTGTGTGTGTGTGTGTGTATAGTATAGTATAGTATAGTGTGGAACATACATTTTAAAAAAGATAAGCATCTAACATTTCTGATCAGTGGGGTTCTACTCTAACCCAACTTACAAATCAAAACAACTAAAGCCAAAATTAGTTTACTGATTTTATATAAGAGAATTTTACAGTGGAACTGTTCTAATCTAATGTCAGCCAGAGTATCCCTAGGATAGATATAATTTATCACAGTATTCAAATGCATAATTTATGAAGATATGATAGAGAGCTAGTTACATGACTTTCAACCCTTCAATAATACCAAGGTGAAAAAAAAAAAAACTGGATATTTGGTCAAGAGAATGGATATGTTTCTTTGGAGAGAGCTGCTGCCTTTCAGTCTCATTTTCCCTAAGGATTGAAGAAGGGGCATTACCTTCCTTACATAAAATCCTAGTGCCAAGCATTTTCATGGGACTATCTGGAGCCCTTTGGGGAATCACTTCTTTTCTAGAGTTACAAATACAGAGATAATTTCATTTTTAGTCAGCTTCATAATTTTTATCAGTGTTTTCTCCTAGACATTCTGGTTGCAGAACTGAAATGATCTTCATGAATTAAAGAGACTTGAGGGATGCATATTACCTAAGAATGGGTGAAAAAAGTCCAAAGGTCTGCAAAGTTTTTCATCCTGAGGCATCATGATAAATTCATTCACAAAATATATGCTATAGGTGATATGGGAGACAAAGAAATACATTTGTATTTGGTTACATCACAATTTATTCCTTTTAGCATTCTGGTTGTATATAAGGTCTTATATATGCCTTTCCTGTATAAAATTAGACCCATATGACCCTGTTGGAGATGTAGTTCTCACAGTGTCAAAGCAGCATGGAGAAGATTTAAGAGACCAAACTCCTAGGATTAGAGATGTCCATTTTCATGTCTGTTTTTAGAGCTATCAGAGTTGGATAAAGTTAACCATGAGTAGGTAGTCATGGAGGTAGAATGAATTGTTGAGTTTTTGAAAGGTTTCTGACTAACTCACTGATGCCTTCAATTCTGCAATTAGATCACAATTTTTCATTTATGGATTGTTTTCTTTTTAAATGTAAACTACTTTGGACACTTCCTCCATGTGTTTTCTTATCTTTTTTCTCAACTGATTATGATAATGGATACAGAAGGCTCATCTGCCCTACATAACTCAATGCAAATGAGTTTCTTAGATCCATTATTGGGAGGAGATTTTTAAAGGAAGAATGTAAATGAGAGAGAAAGAAAAGAGACAAGAGATCATTTAAGGGAAAAAAGAAAAGAGATCATTTAAGGGGAGAAAAAACGTAAGACTAATGGGCAGATGATGAAGTTTAATTTTAGTACAACAATTTTGCCCAGAGTTGGATCTCAGAGTGAGAAATAATGCCTGATACCACTGCATCTCTCTTCCTAAGGTACTATGACTTATTTAAGCCAATTACTCAAATGTACGCCCAATTAATTTAGGGCTACTGATACCATTAATGACTTTCACAGCATTTGACATCAATGAACTCTAAGCCATTTCCCAATGGATTAATTTCTCATGGAAGGACTTGTAAGGGAATTGGGGAGGGGGAACAGATTTGAAATGAAATTAATTTTTTTGGAGAGGTTTTTGCTATAGGGAGTGTGCACGCACCAGAAAGACAGAGAGAGACAGAGAGACAGAAAGCCAGAAATTACCCCCCAGGGGAGATGGCCATGCCGCAGTCCCTTCTCCTCCATTCTCCTCTCAGGATCTTGGTCATGCACACACATGTGCCCCCCGCGAGTTTAAGCCACTAGGTCTGGGACTTGAACGACGGTCAACCACATGAGAGTCCAGTGACATATCCATTATGCCAACTGCTGGTCTCTGAAATGAAATTAATTTTAAGATGAGGATTAAAATGTAAGGGTCTGAGAGCTCTGTCTTCAAAATGATAGTGGACATTGTGGAGGGCATTGCAGGGCATATGGAAGCCATCTTGAGAGCTCCGCCATCTTGAGAACTGTCTGCCATCTTAGAAACTGTTAGATTTCATTTCCTCACTGAGCAAACCATTTCTCAGAAATCATATAACCAACAGTTCTATCTGTGGGGCAGTTGGGTTCCTAGGCAACAGGAGAGATCCACCCTCACCAATGATTGGTTCATACTGTTCTATCTCATTTGCATTTCGGGCAACCAATTGGTGCCCACCAGCCTGTATATAAGCTCGCAATTCTTCCTTAATAAATGAGACTTGATCAGCACCTTGTCTGGTCTCCACTCTGTATGTCTGTGGGAATTCTGCCAGCCTGAATGCATAGAGTAGAGTCCATTTTTTCACTGACCTCACCCAGGCACCCGTTCGACTATCCTGTAGGTCGGGGCAGGACATCAACACATAAGACACTGCTCTTGGGGTAGGTCTGCAGCTGGAACAGTTCTCTATTTAACATAAAAACTCAAGTATTCCCCTTCTTTGTAAGTCTTCCCAACCCTTGGTAGACTGACAAAGACATCAAGAGGCCCTTGAAGAATCTCCAAAATTGCCAGTGGTAGTGGTACTTAGCTCAGAAGTGATAAGAACAAGACCCATCAGTGAATATAAGCAGTTCCTCATCTATCTCTCTCAGAACAATGGGTGAATCTCACAAAAAAACACAATCTGAGGCACTTAAATAGCAAAAAGACAAACAAACAAACAAAAACAAACAAAAGCTACCACATTTTTTCACTATTCTCTCCTGGATATCAGTTATTAATTAATAGAAAGGGTGATGACAGGATACCTTAAACTAGGAGATGTTCTTTTTCTTCTCTCTCAGCCAACATTATTCAAGACTCTGTTCTGTTTTTCTATTCCTTTTCACTCTCTTAGTAATAATTTTGGTCTCTAACTCAGAGTTGCTACAGCTTCAGTGAAGGGCTCATGTCATCTCACTTAAACCATATGACTCATTGAGTAGGATTCCAGAACCAACTGCTTCACCTTTCTGGCCCAAGATTCTGACATTGTTCCCAAAGCATTAAGAATTAGACCAATTTGACACAGAGAAGAACCAAGTTCTAGCACATCTCGTGTGTCTGTGTCAGAGAAAGGAGGGACCTTGAATACCTCATTGGATTCACCAACACTGAGGTACAAAATCTTTTTAATTTTGATGTTCAAGTTTTCTTGAGAGTGTGATCCATATTTCCATATAAATTAAATCTCATGTATCAGTTGGATATTTGTGAGGTAAGTGATGACAGCTCCTTATCCACAATCATTCACCTCATGGTGCACTTGGGCATCTGTTACACATTTAGTCAATTCTGTTTATTATTGTTGTTATTGTCCCATGTCAGGAAGAGAAGGTAGGCAGAGTATTGACTTGCCAGCAGTAATAGTTAAAACATGCAGCCTCATACTAAGAGAGAAAGTGGCTTAACACAGAACTCACAGAGTTGGAGAAGAGTTAGGAGTTCATTGAACCAAGACATGAGACAAGGCCATCCTTAAGCTGCCTTAGAGAGAAGGGGGTAATTTTCTCTGGAATGGTTAAATTCTCTTTGGGAAAACCAGTTTAGTCAAGAAATTACTTAACTATATTAGGCTATAGGGAGGTTTTTCTGGGATAGGAAAGCAATGTCTGTAAGAGAGAAGAGGTTTCTAATGTGATTAAGAGGTATAAAGAGATTTGGTAAAGAGGGAATTCAAAGATCTAGTGGGCTGAACTTTGGGATGAGGTTGAAATGACTAAACTACAGAATCATAGAATGTTAAAGTAGAAAATATTCTGGAAGAGATAGAACTCAACTCTTCATTTTGAAAGTAAATAATGAGATTCTTAGAGGTGAAGTGTTTGGTCTAAGTCAAAGAATGAAAAACTGACTGAGCTACAATAAGAATCCATTTTTCTCCCAGGAAAACATCTTTATCCAACAGCTGCTTCACCCAGAATGTTCAAGTTCATTTAAAATCAAAATAAATTTATTTTGACTTTTTTGTATTAGTCAGGGTCCAATTAGAAAAAAAAAAAAAAACATGCTAGGTGTTTCAAACAAAGTGAATTTAATACAAAGACTAGATTACACAGTTGGAAGACTGGAACAAAAAGAGGTTGCTAGGCTAGCCAGATATTAGAAACTTCAGGAAACAATTAACAGCACTAAGGTTGAGGGGATGAAAGAGAGGAAATGGGATTTTCAAACCTGAGGAGCTTGCAGGATAGCCCATTCTATCTCTTTACCTCACTATTACAGAGTAGAAATATCTGGAATTATATCTGTCTACTAAGTATTTTATTTTAGAAATGAAAATGATTAAGTTAGAGGAAGTGTTATCAAGAAAGATTTTAAAATTAGTTTGGGAATTCAAATGAGAAGCTCCTCAAATTAAAATTGTTAAGACCTGCTTCTGAACACAATCATAGTCTCCAAGACCAGTGTGGGATCTCAGTCCCTGAGCATGACCTTAAGCCCAAGCAACAGGCAGTGCAACACTTGAAAATATCCCTGCTCTTAGAGAAACAAAGGCAGTAATTAATTTTGCTCTAATTGCAGAGCATAGGCTGCCTTTTCTTACTTGTACAATCACATAATTACTCAAGGGGGTTCAACCATTGTTATGGTTTAAATATGTCTCTCCCCCCAAATGTTAAAATTTGGTGAGCCATTGGAATGCTATTGAGAGGACTATGTTGTTGAAAGGTAGGGCCTTTGGGAAATGACTAGGCAGTAGGGTGATGCCCCATGAGTGGGTCTTAGTGGGCTTATAAGGGAAAAAAAAAAAGACAAAAATGTGACATGCTCTTCACAAGCTCCTGCCTCCATCACATTATCCAGCAACATAAAAGACTCTTACATGTGGGGTGCGAGGTAGAAGGAGATGAGAATAAAAAGGTAATTGCAAATAGTGATAAGTACTAGAATAAAAGTATAAATGATCTAATAAAAAGTACCAAGATGGGAGAGACAGCTCGAGGAAGAGATCCTTGAATAGATTACACCTGAAATAAGAATGAAAAAAAGGAACCCATGTTAGGAAAGGCAGAGGGAAAAGTAAGTACAAAGACCCTGAGGCAGGAATGAGTTTAGTGCATTTGAAGAACAGAAAGAGATCTAGGAGCCAGCTAGATCTCTGCTATGGTGGTTAAGGTGACTGAGCCTCCACATGACCAATTTGTCACTTTAAGTCTCAGACCTGGCAACTTGAAAAATACACAAAGCATGTGTGTTTGAGCCCAAAATACCAAGAGAAAAATGGAAGAGACATGTTCATTCACCCAAGGAGTGATTTTTCACTCTCCTTCACTTTCCCTTTTCTCTATCTGTCTGTCTCTCTCTTGGCAAACATAAGCACCCTATAACAACTAATAAAAATTAAAAAAAAGAAAAGAAATAGAGTCACCAAAATGTAGTCACAAAGCAGGAAGGTAGTAGATTAATTTACTGCCTGTAAAATATTTATTCTCTGTACTCCATCTTTGTGGGAGGAGTATATTTTCCTGCCACTTGATTTAGATCTTTGTCATGTGACTTGTTTTGGTTAATTGTATTTAGCCAACAGGACATGACCAAAAGTTTGAAATATGTTTATAAATTTGGGCTTGCCCTGTCATACACCCATATTTCATTATAACATTGATATGCCTAGTCCTGCAATTGGTGACAGGGGAACCTCAGGTGCTCAGCTAACCGAGAAAGAGGGAACCACACAGGCAAGCTAAACCATGAGAGATTCAATATTTGGAAGGGTAATCCTAAGAGTCCTACTGAAGTCCTCAGTACTTTAGTCATGGCTCCTCACAAGACTGAAGCCACAGCAGTAACAAATAGCACCGTGGGGTGTTGGCAGATGTTGTTCTGGCTACAGTTCTGTGATTGCAATGAGCTTGCAGTGCTTTGGACATTTTTTTCTTCTCCTTACAGCCAAATACCCTTTGAGCCATTTTGTCTGGGAATAACATCTTGGTTTCTTTAAAGAACCATACCCTCTTTCTCCAATACAAACACTCTCAGTCCATCCCAGTTCCAGAAATAAGAAAAAGAATTAGGCACAGCCATTCACAGAGAGGTTGCTTCAGGGACCACTGTGTGACCTACTCTGAGCCAATGCGTACCAGTTGAATTATGAGGGAGGAAGTCTAGGTGGCCGAGGTTATCACTTGAGATCATAACTATGACTAACCAACTTTGCCTCCACTGAGAAATAATCTGCCCGGAAATGAAGCCAACAGAGAACAGAAAGATGAAACAAGACATTTGGCTAATATCATGTTAACACCTGGATTCAGCTGCTTCTGAAGATGATGTCATCCTTGGGCTTTTCATTTACAGAGCTAATAGCATTCTCATTTCTGATTGAGGCCAGTTTTGCTTTTCTGTCACGACTACATCATTTAGTTCATCTCTTTGAAGCCCTCCTCAATGTTCACTTTGGAAATCTCTCTATGATCGCTTTGGAAATGATGACCTCCTGAGCCAGCCTAGCAGCAAAACCACCGGGCGCTATGCATTGAGAGCCAGATCTTACATGACCAACCACAGTTTGAATCCCAGCTCCAATGGCTTGAAGGACATGCTTGGAGAATGTGCACATATGCCAAAAACCATGCCGGAATTTAGTGGAGGAAAAAGGATTGCAGCATGACTGTGTCCCATTGGAAGTTTCTCTCCCTCTCTCTCTAATTGTTTCTATATATTTCTTTCTTTCTCTTTTTCCCCCGTTAACCAACTACAGTACAATACATATTGTATTTTCTTTTTCCGACAAGCATATGTGCCTACTGACAATAAAAATTTAAAGTTTTAAAAAAGAATGATGCCTTCCAAAGCTTTCAACTTTGACCAGCCTTTAGACTTTGATTGTGAGATAAGGGCAAAATGATTAATGTGGGATTGTTCGAAAACTTCCTCATCAACCACCCCTTTAAAGAAAGTTCTGCAACTGCCAGCACAAATTTTGTCTCTTCTCCATCCACCCTTCTTTTCCATTATTTTTAAGTTAGTTTATTTAATTATTCTGTTAAAGAGAGAGAGGCAGGGTATTCACACTGCAATCCACCCCTAGTCTTGACCAGCCAAGATAGCAGGCATGCATATCCCGGTTGTTTCCAAGATACGAAGCCAGGACCACCCCATATGGTAACTCACTGACCCTGTCTGAAGGCAACTATGAGTTCTCAATCGTGTATGCTACTGCTGTGCCAACATCTGGACCCTCCTGTCTGCCTTTGAAACAGATTCCTCTCTGCTAAAGAAAGTCTTTGTCAGTCTACATAATAAAGAGAATGGAAAAAGGAGATAAAAGCAAGATGGGCCTAAAAATTGAAATAGTTGGTGGATGATTGTGAAGACAATATACAAGAATTCCTGCAGAATATGATACAAAAACTCCCCATGTGATTTACTAAGGAGCTGCATTTGCCTTTTTGAAAAGTGCAAGTCAAGAATTTGACTGACTTAAATAAGACTTTCCTTCACGGTAAGGGCTCTCTAAGGCCAAGCCCCAGGAGCCTGAATTGGCATTACAGCTGCTTCACCATATCCCTTGGAGACCATAATGCATCCTCAAAGATTGTGGCCCTCTCTCTCCAAAAGTGTCATATTAGATTTTGAGAACTGTGCTGGCAGCACAGAAAGGAAAGGAAGGACACTTGCTCACCTGAGCAGCCTCGTCCGTGGAATGCCAATGAAAGAACCACTGGGAGATTACTCTGTGTCCCAGCTGTCAATATGGGCTAAAAAAATCAATTGATGTATGAGTGGGTAAGCCAGCTCTGTGGTTAAGCATTTGTAGTGCCACTTGCCTAGTTGTTCCAGCCATTCAGCAAATGAATTGGATTAAGCCCTTGGCAGTTGATCAATGATTCAGTGCTCAGCCATTGCCATCAACACAGTACCTGAAAGGCAGTGGTCACCAATGCCTTCAGGGTAGCCGCTGCTGGAGCTGCTTCTACTTTTGAGTCTCCTAACAGAGCCAGTAAGCAAGAACACTGCAATACCAATAAATTACATGCAAAATGTATTATCTGAGCAAAAATTCATTCATTTATAAAAACTCAATTGAGGAACCATCAAGAAAAGAGAATTTTTCTTTTTCTTTATTTGGAGAGGTTTTTGCTATAGGGTGCGTGCGCTCACCAGAAAGACAGA